TTTACCTACCTGTCATATGGGGCCATTTTTACTGGGGCCATTTTTTCCGGGGCCATTTTTTCCGGGGCCATTTTTTCTGGGGCCATTTTTTCCGGGGCCATTCTTACCTACATTCGTTAGGGGCCTATCATTATTATCAGCGGTGGCGCCAGAAATTTGCGGCCGGCAAGCCTTGTCGGACATGTCCGACTGAGCCTCGGTCTAGGTCCTGGAATACAAAATCCCTGGCAAGGTTCACGGGGAGAGTTTTTATGACCCAAGTAGTATGGTCCAAGTTGTGCTTTTAGTTCACAATAGTGATCAGATTGGCAATCAAAATAACGTTATTTGGATGGGCGCCACCACTGCATATCATATTGCATTATAATTATAAAAGCAAGTTATACATGTTATAGCATATACGTGTGTATAAATGTATATTCCGTGTCGTAATTGTATTATAATTGGAACGATGTGATAAATTGGTTGTAGAATTTGGAGTGAATCACTGGTGGAAGGTGGATCTCGGAGAGGAATTTGAAATTACCAAGGTTGTTATTATCAATGCAGTTGACTACAGTAAGCACAGAAAGATTCGATACCAAATTTATTTATCCTTTGTGGTCTTTTCACTACTGTATTTACAATCGTGGATCCAATGGGTGCCAAAACGGACTCTCACCTCACCCCTCCCAACCGCCTCGGCAGCAGCAAAAAAAATCTAACCAAACGTTATATCGTGTAGATAAGAGGTTAAAGTGAAATAAACTCTGATGCTTCGAGTGGGAAAGGTGTATAGAAGAAGGGACACCCCTCTCATACACTCCCTCTTGGACCATAGTACTCCGTTAACGCTTCCCACCACCGCTAACATCCTGGATAAAAACCTTAACTAGGCCTACTACTGCTTGAAAACCAAACAAAACCTACCAATGAATAAGAGAAAGGTCATGTTCCCGTCCGGAAGTCCCCGTCCCCTTCTTATTCTACTAAACTTTTGTTATCTAATTACGTTTCACAATAAACAAACGACATGTTTGCAGGGGCGGATTTAGGGGGGAGGCTGTCCCCGCCCACCCCCCCCCCCCCACTTTTCCCACTTTTTTTTTTTGGGGGGGGGGGAGGTAAAAAAAGAGAGAAATGATAGCCCAGAACGCCTCAAATGTTATTTTCGGGCGTCTAGAACACAAAAATTTCGGACCCACCAGGACCTAGTTGTCTCGATCAATCCCACTTTTGGACTTTTTGGTTCTCTGGATCCGCCCCTGGTTTGATTATTATTACAAGGACCCCAATGGAAATAAGTTTTACTTTTTTGGACTTTTCCTTGTAATTAATTGTATATCGTGTTTGTATGTATTTTATGACTGATTACGAATAAATTCATATCAATAAATTCAATCAATCAGTATCAAGATGCACGCATAAAGTATAAGAATTCGATATTTCTAGTCTACTAAAAAGTTGTTTATAGTGTTTTTTGTTTTTGCTTTTTTAACTTGCTTGGGTGTCTCATCCCGGATAAATGTTTTCATAAGAAAGAATAAAAATTATGTGGCCCTTGACTTTATTTCCATATTTTAACAAAATCCATAGATCACTTTTTTTTTTCAATTTTACAGCAAAGTTGCAATACGGTCTTCTAGACGGTAAGGTCCTAATAGGCAATGCAGATTCCAGCAACAGATTTCAGAATGCGCAATGTGGAGGTAACATTACATTTGATCAGCTTAATAACAGTGCGTTAGTTGAGTTGATATGTTCACCACCAATCAACGGAATGTATGTCTTTGTCACGTCAAATGTTCCAGAAAGAATTAGTTTGTGTGAAGTCCTTGTCTACTCGTCCACTGAAGGTATAACACAATTCAAGTTTTGTAGATAGTTTTGTATAAACAGGTCTCCCTTCAATTAAAAACCACCTCCAATTAAAGACCACTTTTCGTGGTTCCTAATTAACAGATGTATTTTATCTTCATTTATTAGAGACCAAAGCTTTTAAAGACCATGGAAGCCCAGGAACCGGTCCCAAAAGTGGTCTTTTATTGGAGGGATACCAGTATTTAAAGAACATAACCCTTAAAATTGTACTGTATATATCTTTTTAAGAAAAATTAAGCCTTCTAATGGTGACATCACGAAATAAAAACTATTCTAATGATTGAATTTTTCTTGGCCCCAACAGCACTAGAAATAATTTAATAATGTAATGTAAAATGATTGACGTTAATCCCGGCATTTAGGTACCCGTGGGCTAATTGGTTTTTATTAGGTTTCCTGTTCAATGTTGATGTTCTGTATTTAATCATCATTATTGTAATTTACTGACGAATTTATGGCGTGTTTGGTTTAGTTATTTAACCAGAGGTGGGCATACGAGTTTTACCGTCTCTCCAATATGTTTTATGCCAAGATTTGTTATCTGTAGGTCTACAATTAAAAGTCCTTGTATTACGTAGACCTCATCACTGTGGTAAAGCTCGGTTAATTATTACGTATGGTAAAATACCGGTAAAGCATTTAACCAAAACAAATCCATTCAATGGTTACAGAGACGTTTTACTGGAAAAAAAAAACACAAAAAAACAAACAAAAAAAATTCCTTATTGCAGTAAACACATGGAACAGAAATATAATATTTAGGAATTGATTTGATTTCAATTAATATACAGTTACCAACCGTCTCGCATCGTGCGAGTGGGTCCCGCAATTCAAAGTGATTTTGGATGAAACACGCATTTTGCAGAAACACATGCGTGATCATAAATTTGTCATGCATTTAACACAGGTCTATGCGTGATAACGAATATATGGGAAAATGTATTTAAAATTAGAAGAAATTGGTTTTATTAAAAATATAAAAACCATCATGCAGTAACTTGAATACGTGAATACTTAATTCACTGACGCATTACTAAAAATTGACCAGTAGGCCTATGCCTATTCATTTTTTGTTTAAGTAATGAAATGTTTGTGCACATAGTAATTCGGGTGCTCAAAAAAATTAAACATAAAGTACATTGAAACTGTACTAAAAACATTTTTGTTTATGTACCATACCCGATATTGTCAGCAATAAAACAGCTTAAAAATGCAGAGATCGCGATCATCAGAGCGCCAGAGGCCTTGGACCCCCACCGGGGCTCCGGCTCTGGGCCCGGCGGCCCCTCCCCCCCAGCCAACTGGTGTAGTCACACATTTAAAATCTCTCAAGTTGGTAACTATGCGTAATTATTTAGGATTAATCTTTTAAAAAATCGTTTTGCTCATTCCTTTTTTTATATAGAGGTATCCAAAGACGACCTACCATTGAACCCTGATGGCTTATGGCCTCTCAATTCCTTCTACACCATCTATGACCTCTCTGGATTCAGAGAATATGACGCGAGTACCACAACATTCATGTTCACCAACACCTCCTCCGGGGATGTGGCCTTCGCAGACCTCTCACCTGTCGACGGCATGGCGGCCAGCATACTTATCTACAATCATGGCCGATTCGTCAGCCGTACAAATTTTACTCTTATGTTTGAAATCATGCCTGGGCCTAATTCAAATGGTGACATAATCTCAATCGGAGATTTTAAAATTTCGCAGACAAATTCAGGAGAATTGGTGTACTCATCAGAGATTGAAGTCACCAGAAACGGAACCGTGTGCGTACGTGGTGTGGTATTCAATTCCGGAACCTGGACATCCATTGCAGTTGTAGGCCTAAATAATGGATCAACGGAAAAGATGTCTTTGTGGAGAAATGGATATTTCGTCCAGGCTAGAGATAATTCTCCTCCACAGTTTCACAGGTCATGGAACACTCTGGAGATAGGTTTCCCAGGTGGGGCATCGGGTAGTGTTAGAAATGTGCACTACTACAGCCGGGCCTTGACTCAACAGGAACTGACGGCCGCGCTTACCATTCCTTCGGAAGGTAGGCCTATGTAATGTTTGTTGATATGACTTTACAATTCCTCTTTCTCTATGTAAGTGTGACGCAATGGTGAAATTAATAAATCAGGTGTTTATTGTTGAAACGTAGGCCTATGAATTCAATTTTGTTGGTACAAAATCCTCACTTTCAAACGACAACAAGAGGCAGAAAAGTGAAATCGGTCCTGTAACGTGTAATCGACAGGGGAGTGCCACGCTGGCAGTTCTTAAATTGTTGTGTTTGTAAGCGTCAACTATTTTGTAGTCATGATCATTATATCAATTGACGGCCAACGAAATTAAGAAATGTCTATACATCTATCAATTTAATGATTTTTGACTAAAGAGGTTACTGAATTTGAACCATATTTTATTATTTTAGAACCGCTGTATTGTATATTTCTTTAGTTTTAATAATGAACCCGATCAGAATTCCTGCTGCATCTCGCGGGCTATTCATCAAATTAATGGAATATGTCTATTGTTTGTAACTCTTCAACTTTTTTGCATTCATGGATTTGTTTTTATTTGTTTTTTCAGGTAAGATTTCACGGAAAATCGCTACATCATTGATCAGCAAAATGCATTCCGTAGGCTCCGACCTATTTGAATCGGCGTACTCAGCGACTTTTGCTAGTGGACACGTGACAAAATCAGTAACTGTAAGAAGCATGCAGGATTGCGCATTTAGTTGTCTCGATGAGTTGTTATGCAACGGATACGCTTTCAACAAAGAGCATACGCAATGTCTTGTTGGCATAGGGTTTGTAGACAAAAGAGACCTTGTGCAAAGTAACGACTGGCACTTTTATAAATATATACAAGCAGTGTAATTAATCTGTCCCTTTTACAATTCGAAATTGATGCTGTGCCCAATCACTGTAAATTCACAGCATAATTGTCAAGTCACAATCAAATACTGTAGATTGAGGTGAGCTATAAGCAGTTTAAAATAAGATCTAATTCTCTCTAATTCAATGCCACAAAGTAGGCCTACAAATGTGGTTGGATTTATAAAATGACGAAGGTAATACATTTCATGTTGTCATGCAGAACACTTAAGAAGAAAGATCTGATGAGTATATAATTGATGAAAACATACTAATAATTATTAGATAGATGTACTACTTAGAGACTCATGAAAGTTAATGAACTATAGGCTTATTGTTTACATTTATTAGGGCATGAAACAAAAATGATATTCAAATTGTAAAATCAAGATTAATGGAAAAAATAATAATTTAATGGTTCTTTGTTAAAATTGTAATCAATTTTATTATTCATTATATTTTTAATTCGCTATCCGATCAAGAAAATATTTTCTAAGAAATTAGGCTAGATTGATTGGTTACATCAAAGAGAAACAATTGATATTAATCTTGGCGTACACTATTGTTTACCGTGTTTAAATGTTCTTGCTGTGTATGTAACACAAACATGAATCATTGGTTTCCAAATCACTTAAGGCAAGTCACAAGACACCTTGATTGAAGACTAGATTCAATTACTCCTCGACACTGTTATGATAATATGAAACATCACAGATAATTAGCATTTGTTTTAGTCTTCAAAGCGTCTTTGTACTAATACTTAACTCAATGAATATAATTATAAGCAATGTTTAACTCATACCATTATAGATAAATAACGTTAGTGAAAACCATTTAGAAAATACCGTATCTAAAATAAAAGACTACTTAAAAATACGAAACTAATTCGTATATAAGTAGTTTCAATGCCAAAATATATAATAACTGACTAAAGATAAGTAGGCTTCTGTCCTTTATGCAATAAAAATAAGTACTATTGCTTTCTGCTTGTACTGTTGATTGCGAGTTCTGTAGGTCTATTAAGCCTTCCTGCCAACATAATGTTTACTTACCTATAAACACCTTTATAAGTTTGAAAAGGCATAGCTATTTACAATGTTTTATTTCACTTTTATATGTTACCAGTATGCTGTGTTGAGCTAAGCTTATTATCCGAAAAAATCTATAAATTCAGCGTGAATGAAAACAATATTTATAGATCACAATAATCGATAAATTATCAATCGCAATAATTTATTGTGATCTATTGATACAAGTAATGTCTATCATGTATTGATCCCCTTCCTTGACCCATATGGTAAGATATTTTCCTACTTCGTCTTCAGTTCCGTCAGACGTGAAAGCCTGGTATTTTCCGATTTCATAAACACGGGTATCACCGTCTACATTGCCAGCCTCCACAGTTGTGTGTTTTATTTTCTGGTGCCCGGAAGACTTCTCCATTTCCCATAATCCAGGCAAAACTGTCAAAAACATAAAATAAAAATTATTAAATGATTAACTAAAGCAGTCACTCCATAGACTGCATACTTTTACTAGAGTGCATCGACATCTAAACCTTTAGAGTATCTTGGCTTTGGCCTTTAGAGGGATATAGCTTCCAGGGGCGGATCCAGAATTTTTCAAATGTGGGGTGCCGGGGGAGGGGGCACAACATATTCAGAATAGATAAGTGAGAGCGCTAATTTCAATATATGCCTTGAAATTTTAAAATTTAGTGGCAAACGGAGGGGCACGTGCCCCACATGACCCCCTACTGAACCGCCCCTGGCTGGATTTGTGCTAAAATATCGAGGATTGGTAACTTTGAAAAGTGGTCTCGAAATTAGCGGGGTCTCATACTCAAATTGAGGGCGAGCTGTTTTGGTTTTTTGGAATTGATGCAAGTTATTTTCTAACGTGTTCCAACTTAATCTGAAATTAAAAATATATTAGACACATAATGATGAAAGCATTTCAAGCCAATACCTGCAGACGAAAAAATGGGGCTTAAAATATCTAATCTATGACCAGTCGCCTGTTCTAGGCCAATTTTCCAATGTGATTGACTGACTTAATGTTAGAGAACTTCAAACGTTCTGTCTGCTGTAAACAAAAAGTGAGACGTGCTCTATCTAAATGTCTGTAAGAAAAAAAGTTGCAAAATGATAGACATCCCGGAAGTCAAAAACCAAGAAAAAACAGAATGTGATCGAACATTTGATTAAAATCACATTTTCTTGATTCAGGTTATTAGGAACATTTGGCAGACTACACGATTTAAGTGAACATATTTCGCTGATAAATTCATGTTTGTCGAGGTTTATGAATGTTCTTTTTAATGTTGAGCACGCAGCGATGTTCCGGAAAGTAATCTACCTGAACTTTGCTCTGAAACCCGTCATAATCTTGATTTAATATCGAAACAAAAACACACACACTTTGTTCAATATACTCCATCTGGCATGCACACATTTTTTTTGGTCACAATCACAGTATTAAATTATTGTGCAATTGAAGCTTCATGCATCTGGGGCCTAATGGGTCTTGAATTTTAAACACGGATTCAAAAAAATGTTTTCACAATCACAGTGGGCACAAAAAGTGCCTTGTTTTTCGTATTGTGAATCAAAATGACACTTGAAATCTTTAAAAATATTTTTTAATTTGCTTTAAGTATAATTATGCCTATTGCACTAGTCTAATATTCATTCTTAGGCCTATTCTTTTTTTATGATTAGAAAAAAATTGTCGTTATTATCATTATCAGGATCATCTGTTAATGTTTGTATTATCAATACCGCGCGCACTATGATGATACCTTAGCAGTCTTTGCAATATTTTGTAACGCCACAATACCTAAAAATACGGCACCACTATTCATACCGCGACAGGGGTGGCGCCAGCGGAGGGCGGTTTGAGGGGGGAGGGGGGAGAAAAACCACAATTCGTCGGGGAGAAAAAAAAATATAGGCCTATGTATTTTGCACATATTAGTAGACTCTAAAATCGATTAAATAAGCCTTTTAAACCCCTAAATTGTCAAATTTTTCGGAGGCTTCGGCCCTCCCTGTACCACTTTCGAAACCGTTTTTAAGCGCCGCTCGACCACGCCCACTTTGCTCTCGCGGCGGTGAAATCTTCCCCCTCGTCGGGGATATCGCCTCCCCCACCCCCCCGTCGGGCAAATCCTGGCGCCACCCCTGTACCACGGTAATGAATTTGATGAACTGTGATAATGACAATAATCAGCAGTAAACAGTGGCGTACCTAGGGGTTCGTGGGAGGGGGAGCACTCTTTAAAAAAAATCGCTCCCCCGTCACCTCCCCCATTGAAATTCGATGCAAAAAAAATAAATCGTGCTTAGGTAGATAAAAAATCACCTTATTTTTTGAGCTAGCACCCCATCACTTAATCGTTGATCCCTTTCCCCACTTTACCTTCGTGCCCCACCCCCATTTCAAGACTCCTAGACGACTGGCAGTAAAATGGTGAAGGGGTGCATAGAGTGTCTATGTTAATAACCAACAAGGGTTTATGGAAATGAAGTGATATCCGGCAAACTCACAGTCTCTTCCTGTCTTCGTATCCATGCCCTGGAGCATGACTCTGCAACCGCCACTGTAGCTTGCTTCTGCCAGTTCCCCGTACTTTCCCTCATTGTACAGCGTCATGTTACGGTTTTGCAGAGTTTGTAGTGTTTCTTTTAAATCAGCCATGTTTCTAAGGTACAATTAATTCAACCTGAAGATAAATGTTAATGCACATATAAACTGGGGGAAATATACGCTTGGAGATGGATACACAATACAACTATTGTAATGTAGTAGAAATGAAAACACTTAATGGTTGTAACTCATCACTGTCAGCTATTATCTAAAAGATCATAGATCTGATAATAATGATTCCGAGTCATATTTTGTGCCTCACGCTTCCAAAATGTTGTGTTAAATTTGTTTAATAATTAATATCGTATATTGTTTTAGTACTGGTTCTAATTAGTACTAATTTATCTTAGTACTAATTTAGACGAATTGTTACGCAAGCAAAACGCTACGCCTTACACCATTGTATTCCAGTGTGAACCACATAAAATTCAAGACTAACACAGACGTTTGCAAAATTGCTTGGGATTTTATTATTAAGAAGTATGTATACATAGGCTTAAATCATGGACAACTTTTTACCCACGATCTGTCTCCTTTGTAGTTAAAATATACTTTATCCTTTTAAATATGCTATTAAGTTTTATTTGAATTTTGAAGGTTTTTAATAACTTGTGAAAGTCGGCTTCTTTAATTAATCTTACACCAACTTCTGGGCATATAAAGAGATTAGTCAAAGTCTCCTAAGTCACACACAATGAATTGCAGAAGCAATGGTGGACTGATGACATTAAAACTTTCACAGGGTTGATATTGTAAGTTACTTATCGTAATGCCCCACAAGTAATTCATTCGGAGGAGAGTTCGATAATATATATAATCGATAATAATATATCAAGTATATACAAAGGGGGTTGTTATTCGATTAGGCCTATTTTGTCTATATTAGTTATTTTTTAATAAATTCAACAACATCTACGGCAAGTACGATCGTAATTAGGCCTATACTAGCAGTTTTTTGCTACAGGACAGGACCCACCGATCGTAAAAACTCAGGTATTAATAATTGGCGAATGAAACTATCAGAAAGCAAGAAAAATGCACATGATATTAATTAACGCTTAATTAGGCCTATATTTAGGACTAAGCGTTGACGCAAACCAAACACTGTTAAATTGAACTTAAAGATAGAAAAAATGGCCTAGCCAATGTGAGTTCGATAAAGTTGAAAGCAGTACAAACTGATGATTAGTATTGTCTTTATATTATATTTGTGTGGACAAATCTTAATGTTCGAATCTTTTGTCAATTTACCTAATTGTAAGACTATATATTTTAGATAGGCCTATGTCAGTGACTTTGTCGATTTCAACGTGTTATAAATTCCAGAATTTTACTAAAAGTTCATAATCTTATGGCCTGTCTACTTAATACACTACAATATAATCAAAATTTTATGCTAAAAGTAAGGTTTAAATGGCTATGAAGTATTTAGACGAATCTCAATCTAATTAATCTAATATATAACCAGTTTGCTGATGCGATCACGTACAGAGGTTTACTCAACCATCTACGAATAAAATATACCACATTCACAACTTTGCAACAATTATTAAAAATGTTCCAGGGATTCAGTGCAAATGGCAAAATACAAGAAGCGTGAACATTAAAGTCTATTAATTAAACATGCACATTGATAGGTACTCCAGTAAGTCTGTTATTCTTAATATCTTCACTTACCTTCTTCTTCGAGTTCGTTGGATCCGTCTTCGATCACGCCGTATGTCTATTTTATCGAAGATCAAGTGGATATGTACTGCCAAACCTGTCTGCTAGTGATATTCCTGTAGATAATCTCGTGACGTCGGCGCATACTAGGGTGTGATCATTGAAAAATTGCCCAGATTAGGTTAATTTGGGGCAAATGTTTGTAATTGGCTTGGTGATGGGTGGATTGCCAATCAGACAGCGAGGAGACATTATGGGATCAGGTTATTAGTACCGGGATAAAAAAGGAAGATCTGATTCCCTTAATAAAACATAATGAAAGAGTCATTCAATGTCATTTCCCCACATACCGGTACCTCATGTCATTGCTCGATGAAACGTGAAGTCATAAATTCGAAAGTGTTGATTTCTCTTCTGTAATACAGTGGCGTATCTAGGAGAGGGCTCGGGGAGGGTGGCAC